ATTCAATTTCTCTGCGTGTCCAGCCGCTGCGAAGGATTGGGGTTTGCATGTGCTAAGGGATACTCACAGCCGTTGCTTTACTGGGCGGGCGCCAAGAAATAGACGTCATTGCTCCGAACAGTCTATCCCTACGTTCAAAAATATTTTTGATACCCGCAGTCTTACACGAGTACATACTGGCATTGTTTGAAGAAAAAACTCGCAGAATCATCATCGCGCCCTCTCCAAGATTCGGACTAGGAGGGTAGCACAGACATTTACTTTTTTATTTCCTTCGAAAACAGTTAAAAACTGTGTGTGACGTGCTACAAGGAGGTCAAACTTGCGGGACTTAATTTGAAGTTACATGTATAACCAGAAGTAAAACAAGGAGCCATCTCAGCATTTGTTCAAAGATGAGCGACACTAGACGAAAACCTGATCGAGAGGGGGGTCATTGACTGAGAAGCTGAAGTATAATAATTATTACAGGTACTTTAAAATTATTCAGTTCAAATGGTAAATATTACATTACATGTCACTCTTAAAATGAATATTACTTTCCTTTTGGATGCTCGTTATAGTCTCTAATTGTACAGAAACAATTGTGCAATAGAAAAGATTTTTCTTGTGACAAACTTTTGAATCGAATTTAATCGATTAATGTCATCTGGCAAAGTGTTGTAAAATAATTTACAGGTTTGTGAATTTTGTGTAGTGAGCTGTTGATACTGGCACAAGGATTTGCAAATGCCCAAAGCAAACATATAAACTTAATTACAAAATTTTAATATATAAAGTTTTAATAAATAATTAAAGCATCGCCCAAAATCCATCTGATTTAGGAATCACTTAATGTATTCACGGGAGGAATAATTCGATTCGACAATGACAGCGCGCAATTTTTTTCAACGTTTTCAAATTTGTCCGAAAGTACGAAAACATTTTTAAAATTAGCTTCAGCTATTTTACTTGGGAAAAGAGAATTACAAAGTGAATTCTACGAAGGAGAAAAAGGCCGTTTTGGGATCAAAAATAGAGTCTTAGAATAAAAGTGACCGTGAGTAATATCTGCTCATTCTTTCCGGTAGTAGAATGATAACAGAAGATCAAAGAAGTAAAATATGTAAAATCCGGTGTGAGGCCATGGAATATTGATGATATTTACACAATTAGTCCAATTTTCTTTTTGAAATCAGTTCCATATCGGAATCGACCTTTTGAGTAATGCCTCAAACAATTTTATGACTATATTCGAAGGACGACGGAAATATGTGGACAAGATAGTTTTATACTACTATTGCAAATGATACTAGACAGTTTGCCTCTGTTACAGCATCGCTAGTTTGATATGTGGGGAAAAATATATTGAGATGTAAGTGACGAAAGCATAATCCGACTGCATGGTCTGGCAAGTTGGGCCTCCTCTGCCAGGAGTCCCGGCCCGGGACTGGCCGCACGTCGCCGGGACTGGTCGTGCCGCCTGCGCCGAGAGGGCCCTCAACGGGATGATATCGCCACGGGTGAAGGTGGAGGAGGCCGAGGTGTTTTCCCAACTTTCACTTTATGGCCCTCCTATACATCCGATTTGCATGATTGACACGCCGTTGGATTCAGGAATCATGTCGCCATCGCGCTATAAGCCCACATTTTTTAATTTTTTCTCTGAAATTCGAGCAACAATTCCAAATTCGAATTTTTGCCAGATTTTTGGAAAAAGGGCTTCGTAGCGTAAATTCTACTTTTGAGGATGCCGTTTACAGATCGAAAATCGGACCATTGGTTCAGACTTAATCGGTAAAGTAAATTCCCCTGTGATAGTACGGCGATCTATTGAATTTTCCTACAAGTATTTTTCGGAGCATTTAGCCTTAAACCAGTGTCCAGTTCGGTCGCCGCACAAGATGTAGATAACCACCCTGACCATTCGAAGTTGTTGAATGTCGGAGCGTTGCGGGAGGTGACGACGTTGTTATAACGATTCAATATATAAATGACACTGTGCTATGTTTTTTCTCTTTTTCTAGATAAAAAGTGTGTGATTCTTATAGCCATTTTTAAGCTGAATTCAGATATGTGTTTAGATTTTTCTAGCAGGGATAGTTTTGGAGTTATTTTGTTTTTAATTTGTGAATTTGTACCAACTTCTTCTTCTCCACTTCAATGATAGGTCTATCACCTGTTCCGGATTCTAAGAATTCCATTTATTAGTGGTCTACCTGGGTCTCTTCTGCCTTGAGGTCTACACTTAAACGCCTGCTTGAAATGCAAGTCTCTTCCATTCTTTCCACATGTAACTATTCTTACCCGTAACATTGTACCCTTGATTGCTTGAAGGTTTAATTCTTTTTGGATTTCCTCATTTCTTAGTTTAACTAGTCAGACAGATTTTTTTACAAATCTGAAGAATTTCATTTGTTCACTGTAATGCCTTTTTATCGTTCTCCCGCAGTCCAGCATTCACTTCCGAACAACAGTGAAGGGACAGCCATTACTTTATATATCCTCATTAGAGTATCTATATGTTTTTATCTTTAGGAATTTGCTAAATGTTTCCACATATATTCTGATATTTATTAATTTTTTCATATATATCCATTTCTGTGAAGAACGTTATGTCATAGCCCAAATATTTAAAATGGCTAATTTGTCCCAGCACTGTATTTTCCAAAATTATTTTGGTGCATATAACATGTTTTCCCAGAAATGCCATTGCTTTGGTCTTCATTTTTGAAATCTTTAGATTATATCCTTTGTAAGTATCGTTTTATTGATGAATAGACCTCTGTAAGTCATTCTGACATTCTTGGATTATAATTTGATCATCAGCAAATAGGAGTGTATTTACGTGCACTCCATTTTTAAACTTAATTCCTAGGCTGATTTTGTTCTTCCATTCTCGAATGACATCATCCAAGTATATGTTAAACAATGTTGGGGAAAGGCTACTTCCTTGGTGAACTCCTTGGTATTTTTATTTCTTTTGAATATTTCTCTTCTAGTTCTAAAATAAGAGGTATTCTGGCACAGATTTAATGTTATTGATTAAGTGGAGTGGGGAGCCTCTTTCAATAATTTCACATCAAGTAGAGCTTTACAATTTATTGAAAGCCTTTTCATAATCAACGAAAGACAAATAGGTCTCTAGATTAAATTGCCTATGCTTGTCTATTAGTTGTCGGTTGGTAAAAATACTGTTTGTACAGGACCGTCCTTTTCTCAAACCATTTTGTTCTTCTATTATTAAAATTTCAGATATTTGCAAGCCTTTTATTTACAATTTTTGCATACATTTTATAACATGTGGGCAATAAACTAATAATTCTATAGTTGCCAGTCGCTCCTTTTCCCTTCTTAAAATAATGAAATTACTTTTGCTTCTTGGTATTTTTCAGGGACACTGCATTGCTTCGAACATAAATTTAATAGGTGGAAGAGTCTTAGTTTTAAGAGCAAACCTTCATACTTAGTTAGTTTGACATTTACTTCATTAAGTTCTGGAGTGTTTTGATTTTTTAGTCCCGTTATTGCCATTTCTAATTCTTCTAAATCAATGTCATCTACCAAACCTTGTACAGGCATTTCACATTGGATATTTTCATCTTCAGGGATATACCATAAAGTTTGATAATGTTCAACCCATTGACTTCCTTTTATAATGTTCAAATTAGCTGTATCTTTTAATTCACAATTGATATGCCTAAAAACATTATATGCTAGTTGTAGTCTGCCAAAATGTCATTTTCTAATTTGCTTATAAATCTTTCCCATGCTGATTGGTGAGCTTTTCTATTTCTTTGTACTAACTTTTAATTACATTATAATGGTAAGATATAGTAAGGATTAAGATAAGTTTTTAATCTCAATAGTATCATGACAATTGTATTACTCATGCAACTTTTCTTGAACGATGACCTTCCTTCCCCTTCTCTGGCACAATAAACAATTGAAGACAAAAGCTCTGATGACAACATTCCAAACACATAATCACTGGGGTGAAATAGAAACTATTTTCTATTGAAGACGTGAATTTCTGTCCGTGATTTTCTCCAAAAAATCTAAATGAGTTACCGAAGCAGGTGAAGATCCATTACAGAAGATACCTCGAACTCCTAAGAAGGTTAGAATGCGAATGATTTAAAAATTGGCGAAGCATCATCATCATCATCATCATCATGAAAATATCTCACAAACTTCACTTTTCTATTTCTACACATAATAACACTTGCAGAAACATGTAACGACATAAAAATCCTTTTCCTGATCCACCAGTTAGTTAATTTCATGTAACAAGTGGATCAACAAAAAAAAAAAGGAGTCCATGTTTTCTCCTTGTTTCCTATTTATGAACCCAAGTAGTGTTCACAGACCTGCTGTTCCATAGATATCATCTTCCTATTCCTAGTGAAAGTAAATTCTCCTCAAATATAGCAGAAATTGTCAGTTTCATCTCCAAATTTAAAGCGGGGCATTTTATGAGAAAGGATTATTTTATACCTTCTAATCTGGAACTTACAAGGAGCATTTAGTAAGTTAGGATTCTTACACAGACAAGATAACATTTAAAATGGAATATAACAAGGTGTAAACAGTCTCAATGGTTGCCAATACAAAAAAAAAATGCACTAAAGTACAGAATATTTAGCACAAAACCAATGTAGCCAATTTTACCCGAAACTTAATACTAAAATAAGAAGGAATGATTTTGAATCAGTGAAACAATCCCTGATATGGTATTTTCAACCTCAAATTGCAATTCAGGATCCAAAAATCATTAAAGTAAACATATTTCAGCTCCAGAAAAAAATAGTTGAGTCTATTTTAAAAAAATAGTAAGTCTTATTTTAAAAAAATCTGTACATACAAAAAATCTGTAAACTCTGCAGTGTTTCAAAACATTTTGTGTCAAAATTTTCCGTCACAAGTGTTTTTACATTTTTGTTATTGATTTTGGACATGGATCTGTGGGTTTCAAAAACCAAGGCGTCACTGTACTATGCATTTTAAATTAAATTTACAATGAAACTATGCAATTAATTTTTTTTTTTTTTTTTTTTTTTCCAGAATAGTTTTACTTTTGAATTAATGTGCGCTTATTCACCTAGAATTAGACACATAAAAATATTAGCAAAATATTATTCGCAATCTTGTTAGCATTATAAGGCTAGAAAGTGAATGCTGCATCAATAGCAATGCATGCAAATATGCTCTAACATTTGCCAGAAGTAATGAAATATGCACTAACAATGAAGTTTTACATATTCATGCGCAATTATAAAGCTTTTACTTTTAACAATTAAATTAGCTTTTTCCTCTCCACTCTCTCTCTACTAGTGACAATTTTTGAAGTTAAATGTAATGATTTTGTTCACGTCATCATCAAGTTATGCCACAAATTCTTTATCAAAGATAAATTATCACATCATTCATGATCGGATAAATTTTTTCCGGATACAAGCATCATGATATCATCTAAAAGAAGTTCAGACAAACACAGCTACAACAAACAAAAGGCATTCCCATGATTTTTTATGAATAGCATTTACATTTGTAAAATACACTTTTCAGTTCAAGGAGGCAAATATGCATATTAAATGAAATTCCATGAGAAATATGCCACATTAAGAACAAAAAAGCAATAACATTTGAAATTTTAATATAATGGATGAAGGAATAATAAAATATATAATAGAGGAATAAATATGAAGCTAAAATATAATGGAAATATGATGCATTAACACAAAATATGCTACATAAAATCACTGAATTTCAGTTTCTTTGATAGAGTTTAGTGGACTTTTGATAATTAACATATTATAAAGCTATTAATTAAAAAGATGATTTTTCATAAACTTGTCATTAATTATTTAATTTTTATGTAAACGTGGGTTGGCATTCCATAGTAATACTGATTGGGTGATATCGAGAGATTGAATCTTATGATAAGGAGAAATACCTTGAGTTGTTGAATCACTAACAGTTCACAAAATTTCTAAGAATAAGAATGAGTAAATCTCTTGATTTGTACAGTAAAAAAAAAGTTGATGTTAGTGCTACCATATACAGGTATATTAGTATAAATAGGAGTCAAAACAAATAATTTCAAACTGTCATGCTCTCAGGCAAGCAAGTGATAAAAGAAGGGTCATTTCAATATTTAAAAAAAGTGCCTGGACAAAAGTATAAAAAGGAGGACATGTCTGGATAAAGAGGACCCTAACTAAATGAACTCACCAGGATCATGTTGATTTGAAGAATGGTCATCACCCACAGATTCAATATTAGGATCATCCCAGTCTTTCTGATCTTCCATCATTGTCACATCATCAAAGTCTCTCTCAGACTCATCCGAGTTTACATCCACATAACTATCAGAGACAGGTTCAGTTTTAATTACAGTGTTCACATCTGATGGCACAGTATCTCCTGAAGGGAAAGTAGACACAAAAGGGGACAAGCACTGATTATTCTCCAGTTTGTCTCTATCATGGTCAGTTTCTACTCTAACTGGGCACGAAGTAGAAGCCGATGGTATGCTGAAGGAAGATGCTTTGGCAAGTGCAGAAGAATTGGGGGAAGAACCTGATGTGTCTCTATGAGGTAGATGATGGTGAGAAGAACATTCGTTGCTATTCTTATCGCTGTCGAGGGTGATGCAACTCTCTACAGTATTCTCACTTTCCATGAAGGTGACTTCCTTTCTCCTGGAATGTGCTTTTGGAGGAACTGCAGCCTTCAAGCTCTTTGGTGTTGGAGACTTTCCTCTGGCATCCTGAAATTACATAAAATACATTTTCTAAAATTCCAAATTGCAAAAGTAGTCAAATCTAGCCCAAATAGGAGGTTAAATGATTTTGTAATGCTATTAAATTATTTTTTCTTACTTTGTTTATTTTTACCTTGTCATTTGTTTCTTTAATTTGGAAATACACAATTGAAGATCCATTATCAACCCCACTATATCACATGAATGAAATTTTGTATTTAATCTCATAAATCTGGTGGCCATTAAATCTTAAAATTGTTCAAATATTTCTAAAATCTAAGTAGCATCACTTATCACTCATGCAGATACACACAGTACTGCAGTAGCTAACGTATGCCCTTCTACGTTCCATTTGTCAATGTATTATTTTGTCTTTTTCTCTGCCTTGAGCAACTGGGAATCTGATAATTGTAGGTCATTAAATAGCTAACAGTCACGTACCAATATCATTCCAGTGGTCACAGAACAACATCGGGATGTCAACAACAGGGTGGGTTCAACAGCAGACTCCAGAATATAATTACAGCAACTTAATTAAAGGAAACTTTTATACATTTAAGAATACTATACGTATTAGCAATATTTAGCAATATATTACAATCATCATCTGTTAGTGTTAAAATATTTTTTGTAGAGGTCTACAAAAAATATTTTAATATGATATATATTTAAAATATTATCTGAACTTACGATCCCTTCCACACTCACTATGTTGATCTGTTGCACAACACCGATTTCTATCAACAGACAATAAAAGGTAACGTGTTTATGGGCAGGCCTGGCTTCAAAATAATGGTTTAGTTCCCAAGAACCTATCATACATGGAAATTATTTAGAATTTAAAGCAAAACCTTCATAAAATTTTGTCACAGGGTTCAAAATGGTTAAAATAACAAAAAAAGTTCTAAACAATGAAAGTGTAACTTCAAACCTACACGAAGATAGGGAGGAAAAACTATGAAACACTGAAAAAAGACTTTAAAAATCTTTTACTTATCCATGGTGGACTGATTTATTAGTTTTTATCTTGTCATAATACTTATTGAAAGATCTAAAAAAAAAATTAATTTATTTACTTCTTCCATACACATGCAGATTCCTTTGTGCTCATGCAAAATTTTAGTACTGCAAATAAATATATTTTAAAGAGAAAAAAATCTACACAATATCCGGAAAATTCAATTAATTTTCTGTAAAATAATAAGCAAGTTGGCTCAAAACTAATTTATATCTACAGCTTAAACTTTGATATATATTGTGAGTCTTAAAATTTAAAAATTCCAAAAGGTAACGCTTTTAAATAATAAGATCCCAGTTAAGAATTAGCACCCTAAAAATATATGTAAATTCAAGGAAGTTCTTACATGAAGATTTTCCATCGCTGCCTAACCCTTTATTGCAAAGAATCTGCAACTTCCAGAAAAGCTGCAATCTATCTTCACAACTTCAACTTCAACCTCGGTACATAAATTAACAGCAGCTTCCAGTTCTTGAAATTTCACATCTTTGAGAATAACTATTGGATTCTTCTCACTCTCTTGACTAAATAACAACTAGAAAGAAAAACAAGAAAACATTTGAGAATGAAAATAGAACTGACTACTCAGTCTATTACCCAACCACTTATATGTACATTCTGAATAACCTTAACCAGCAGGAAACAAGTTCAGAATAGTTAACATACAAATATTCAATATTAGTTTTGTAAAGAATAATTTTAGACAAAATTCCAACACCCACAAAGCAATGAGGTCTAATCAAATTTTACAATACATTCCAAATGTGGTTATGAGTTTATTTACTTTTTCTGCCAAAATAAATTTCCCTAGAAGCCATCACAATCCAAGATTTTAATAATTTTTTGACAATTCATTCAATAAGATAACTGACTAACTATAGTAGTTTCAATCAGCTGATATTTTTATGATGCTTATATAATTACATTTGAAAATATTGTCAATGAATATCAAAATAATAAATCTGCCAAGTTTAATAATTGCAGCCCCACCTTCCATGTTTTCTCATCTTAAGAGTCAGTCAGTCAGTCTGTGATTATAATTGTTCTCGACTTGCTAAATGTACTTTATTGTTACCATCTATCTCTAATTTTAAGTCTCAACAACTATTGCCTTTCTTCTTCAAGTTGGTAATGCAAAATTAATAAAATAAAGTAGGTAAACAGGAAAAAATGAAAAATTGTTTTTCACTTCCAATGTAAACATTTCTTAGAACAAAATGAGGAACTAAGCTACAAGCTCTTCACAGTAGCTCAGCTATTGTAAAGTGCATGCTGCTTCCAAGTCTATTAAAAAATAATTTAAAAGATTTGTGATTTTTTTATAGTTAACTGTAACAAGAACAACAAAGAAAACTGGAATATAAATGTTTTATCTTAAAAACATTTGTGCTCTATTTGTCCGTTAAGTTCATTTCAGAAAATCCTCAGAAATTGTTTGTCAGATACAAAGCTGAAATTCTTTTTTTTATATACATTAAAGCAAAGGAAGTACAGATTAAATTTGATTACCCAATCAAATGATTACATTTTGCACATTTCACATTTTCTGGATTTTCATTTCTAATCAAAGACAAAACAATATTCTCTCCTCCACAACTAGCAAAACACTAATACCAGAAAGAGTTTATAATAACAGAATTTTATTTCTTGTATATAAGAATATTTTCTCACATTCAATATGTTATTACCATTTATAGCAAAAAGTTTATTTGAATGTGAAGAACAAAATTAAAATGAAGGAAACATAGGGGCTACTAATGAAATGACATTATGTAAAACTAAAAACAACAATTAATACGTTTGTAAGAGCATTCCAATTTATTTTCATTTTTTGTATATTTTTTTAATTATTATTTTTCCCAAGTAAATAATTGCCTAAAACATTACAAGATTTCACTTAATTATGGAGCCTGTACTCATTTTTTCATTACAAATATATAAATTTTACATAAGCAGTGCATCACAAAATTATGACACCTGTATGTGATATCCACAAAGAAAAGACTTTTGCATAATTTATACAATGCCATCAACAAATGAACCCTAAGAGAACAATTGCTGGATATGGAAATACCCCCATGGATGCATCCTATGGTTGCAGCAAACATTGCATGTCTGAACTCGCCCAATGAAGGTATTTTGCCCTCTCTTAAGCACACAAATTTTAAATACTGGCAGACATTGATTAGTTACTAATAAATTTCAGTCAACTTAATCAATGAAGTGGTCACTGTTCAGACATGAAAAATTAATGGAGGGCTGGTTACATATGTACTTCAAAAATATTTTAAAAAATGGTAATTAATGCCAAGATTAGTTGACATTCTTCAGCTGGTTCACATATGAAAGCATCTCAATTTGGCAAGAAAATCTTTTAAATCTCACCTCGAAATATGAACTGCAAGCAGAAAGCACAACTTTATGGCTTTACATATTGACCATCTGCGGCCAGAATACAGTCTACCCTAAATTCCTTTCAAAAGATGGTATTTTCCTTTCAAAGATTCCAACAACAGACACCAATGCACCATTGTGATCTTTCCAACTTAAAACCAGTTGCTGAGGTGACATTTCAACCTGAAAAACATTAATCTTTGTAAGTATTAAAATAACTAAGAACTTCAACCCGTTGAAGTGCAGATACCATGAACTACAAATATTGCAGTATTAAAAAGAAACTGGAAAAATTAACACAAAAAACATGAAATTGAAAGAAATAGAAAATACCTATGATAATTTTTAAATGAACTGATGTAATGTTGCTCAATGAACAGATCCAAAAGTGGCGGTCGATCGGAGAAACACGACACAAATGAGTACAATGACCAATACCAGCTAATACTCTGTGACTATTACTACAAACCTGAAAACTTAAGAAATGCTGTTTATAAAATTCGTGGCCTATGAACAGAAAGTTGACCAACACTGTACTGAAATTTAAGTTTTGAAAAGTTTTGCTCAGAGAGTTGTTTATACTTCTCTGATTGCACGGGGAGTTTTGCTAAGAGATAACATTTCAACGCACGAATTTTGAATGGCGTAACTTTTCTTGACAGCCGATGGTGCGCTTTTTGATGTATACATCAAAGTTCACGACTTTTAGTCACATGACACCGAAGACCGCGCGCCAGTTTCTGTTTGAATGATAGCATCAAACACTTCTATTATTGATCACAATAAAATTCTATTCAACTATAAACAAAATAACTATTGTCCGAAAAAATGCAAATTTGAAGTATTATGTTATGAGAATTATTCAGTGGTTAAACTTTGACATAGATCTTCTTGAAGGGGAAAAAATTACACCAATGTCTTGTTATAATGGAACACTTTTATCGCCATCTCCACGACTAGTAATTTTTTTTAAAAAAGTAGAAAATCAACGCTACTGGTCCCAGTGTTCGGGACAACGTATTCAGACCAAGTCTCTGAATATCTCATGGAATGGTTTGATGACGATGAAAATTATTATTATTATTATTATTATTATTATTATTATTATTTATTGCCGAGGAGAGGGAAAATGGCCGTTATGCATACCGGTAAGCGTGTTCCACCCACGACTTCACTACGACACACAGCTCGCGGTTATGTGGACTCTCCAGGTGGCATCACCGACTAAAACTACTCACTCCGATTCACATGGGCCCGTGGTATGTTTCTGCGCAGAGACGCGTCGTTGAGACATTACTTCACGCAGAAGATTGGCTGAGAGCGTGAGCTTTCCTCTTCAGATGGTCACTATGGTATTTTAGCTCTCTCTGCTTTTAGTAGCGTCTTTCTGTTTTAGTACGTGAGCCACGAAGTCTTGCACTGTTTTCCAGTTGTCTCTGGATTGCAGTATAGTCTGGATTGTGTTTGCTGGCGTTAATTCCCGTCGCAATTTGCTGTAGCAGTTTCTTCTTTCTTCTTCCCAAGCTTTGCAACTATATATGGTGTGCATAGCATCGTCGTCCTCTTCATGGCATAGTGCGCATATCGGTCTTTCAGCGATTTTAAATCTGTAAAGATGTGTTTGAAAGTTCCCATGCCCTGAGAAGGCTTGCGTCAAGTAGAAGTCCATAGCGCCATGGTTCCTGCTGGTCCAATCCTTGATGTTAGGGATGAGGCTGTGTGTCCATCTACCTTTGTACTCCACGTCCCATCGGTTTTGCCACTGGTGCAGGAGATGGTTTCTCAATTCCGCTTTGATATTGTCTTTTGAACAGAGTTTGTTGTTTATCTGGTGTCGTCCTCAGGTACATTGTCCTTTTCTGGGCTAAAGGTCCATCGGGGGGACACTGGCCAGTACTAAGGCAGCACTGTCGGTCATCGTGCAATGTCCTGAGATTATCCATAGTGCCATCCTTCTCTGGATCTGTGTGAATTTCCGTCGAATGGACTCTTTTTCGAGCGCATCTGCCCACACTAGGACGGCATACAGCATTTTTGAGTGCACTACGGCAGAAATTAACATTCTTTTACTTTCACGGGGACCTCCTGAGTTCAGCATTAGTCTAGAGAGATTCGATCCAGTCTTTGCAGCTTTTCCTGCTGATTTTATAATGTGGGGTCCGAAGCTCAATCGTGAATCAATTTCCACCCCCAGGTATGTAATATTCCGTTTCCATTCAATAAGTTCCTCCCCAGTCGAATCACCGGGGGGCGGAATGCTCTGCGGTTTGTAATCAACACGGCCTCCGTCTTGTCAACAGCCATCTGGAGGTTTCGTTGGTCCAACCAGCTTTTAACCCTGCGTAGTTCTTCGCTCGTCTTCATTTCCAGTAGTTCCGTGTTGTCACTATGGCATATAATCAGTGTGTCGTCGGCGTAGCCTATGAGTCTGGAGTTCTTTGGGAGTTCGATATTCAGCAGGTCGTCATATAGAGTATTCCACAGGAAGGGGCCCAATCTTGATCCCTGTGGAACACCACACGTCATATCCTCCTCAATCCTATACCCGTTAGTGTAGATTATTTTCCTCTCACTGAAGTAGTCCTCCAGTACTCTCACAAGGTATTCAGGGATCTTCCTAGCTACTAGAGCTTGTATGATGTCATTCCAGCTTGCAGAATTAAAGGTATTTTTTATGTCAATCGCAACCAAGGCGCAAAAACTCTTATTCCTGTTTGCTGTTTCTGCCTGGAGGACTGCTTCTGAGATCGCATCTATTCTCGAGAGTCCCTTTTTAAATCCAAACTATCTCTTTGAAAATTAGACATGTCTCTTTAGTCATAGAAGGAGCAAACTCTCCAGTAATTTGCTCATCGTATCCAGCAGGCACAAAGGTCTGAACGATGACGTCCGATCGATTGGCTTGTTACCTTTCCGCATGAGAATTAGCTTCTGATGTTTCCAATCCTTATAGAATTTGCCTTGTTCAAGGAACTGCATAAAGGCTTTCATAAGGCATTCTGGGCATTCTTTTACAACTATTCCCAGGATCGCGTTGTGAATTCCGTATGGTCCCGGTGCAGTTCTAATCTTGGTCTTCTTAATCATCTGGACTAGTTCGTCCTACGTGAAGCGGTTGGCTTTGTCGAAGAGGTAGTCAGAAGGTCTGCTTCTTACCCAGCATTCTCTGCTAGGGAAAAGGTCTTTGATAATTGCCTTCATCGATGCGGGGTCTTCTAGCCCCGCGGTTGTTGAAGGTGAATTTGCCCATAACAATCTTGTAGGCTTTTTCCCAGGGGTCGCAGTTCACATCATTTAATAGGGCCTTCCATCATTTTGTTTTGCTTCTATTAATCTCCGTTTTTAGTCTTTTGTGTGCGATCTTGTAATTTTCCCTCATCAGAATGTTCGTTTTAGCTCTTGTTGCAAGTCTTCTAGCTTTAACACATGCTTGACGAAGCTCTGCAATAGCCGCTGTCCACCAATACACCTGATTTTCCCCCTTTGGTCTCCTACGTGTGGGCATTGAGATGTCACGCGTATTTTCAACGACTTCGCACGTTTGTCATACCACCTCCTCGAGAGACTCTGCACTTTTCCTTTTACTCCACCCCCATGGACTCCAGTAATTTAGATTCGTCAAGGACTTTTATGGCATTAGCTTCTTTAGCTTTTAGGTGTTCCATGATGAACCGATGTTTGATCCCTTCTTCTATCCTATTTCCAGCGGATGAAGTGTATAATTCAGTGTAGCGGCGATCGCTAAGTGTTTTAGCGTCGAGAACCTGCCAATCCAGGACATTTTTGGCAATCCTTGCGGTTCCTATTGTCAAGTCTATTATCGAAGAAGCTGCACCCCTTTGAAATGTACATGAGCTCCCTGTGTTTAGAAGTACCAGGTCCTTCCTAGCCAGGAATTCGCAAACAATATCGCCTCTGCGATCATTTCTGCTTTCGGCCCATTCCGGGGACTTGGTGTTAAAGTCCCCAACCAATATTATTTCACCTGGGGCTGAGTGCATGCTTGTCCCAAGTTCATCGATTTGCTTCTTAAATTTCTCTATTCGGTCATTTGGAGAGAAATAGCAACTATATATTCTAAGGCTGTCCAGTTCTACTCATACAAAACCTAGGTTTGTAATTTTAAATTTAGAGACTCATATTTTGGAGTTAAGTATTATAATTCCTACACGTCTGATCGGGTCCTGGTAGAGGGATATGTCGTCAATATCGTGCTGCTCATTGACCAGTAAGACATCCTGTCTTTCCCTTGCCGTTTGAATGAGAAGACCTTGGGAGGTCTTTCCTTTACCTCAATTAATTTGAAGGAACCTAGGCATTCTTTGTTTTATCGAGTTTCTTTAGTTCTGCAGTTAAGGAAGGGCATTTATAGCTACCCAGCTTATGATTGGCTTCAAGGTTTTGGTCTTTGCAGACAATACATTGAACTGGTCCTCTGCAGTCCTTGGCCGTGTCCCTCTTTGCTACATTTGTAGCATTCTTCACTTCTATCGGGGCCATTGCAAGAGGTGGAGATATAGCCAAAGCCTAGACATCCAAAGCCTAAAAATCTGCTGACCTAGTGCTTCATCCTAACGTGGCAAGTAAGCCAGCATATCTCAAAATTCTGTGCTTTGAATAGAATTTCTACCTGGCGCGAAGGGAGCAGTGCAGTCGCTACCTGTCTGCCTCCGAACACATTGTATAGTGTCCACGTCGCGTGGTTTCCCACACATTGGGAAGTCTCCCGTAATGCGTGTGACAGCATCTCTTACATCATCTAGGATAACAGACTCATCGATGTTCCATAATTGAATTAAAGTTTTTGGGTTAAAGGTATTGATGTTTACCCTGTCTCCTATTGCACGGGTGATTGCTTCGTTTAGGGAAGTGGGGTCACAATCTTTCTCCAGGACTATCAGGAGTTCATTTTTTCGTGTCCTCCTGATCGCCTGGATATTAGCGTTGTGTTGTTTCGGGTCAACCGCTTCCTTCATTCTTTTTAATATTTCGGCATATGATTGCCCTTCGTTGGCTGTCAGTTTGATGGCCTGGTTGGTGGGTCTTCTGTTCCTTGCCTTGGGGGTTTGGTTGCCTTCTTTGGTGGAACTCTCCTTTTTCTTCGCCGTCTTCCTGTGTTTCACTTTCTGCCAGTTCTCATCGGGGTTTTGGTTTAGTTTTTCAATAACCAGTTCTATGACTCCATCCTGCTTGTCTTTCTTGTCTGGACTTTTGTCTTGTAGTGGACTTGGAGCTTGTCTCTTCTTCTTCTGGAATTGTGTCGTTTTCACCGACTTCTTATTCATCTGTTAGCCGAGTTTCGTATTCTCGGCCTTTTTGTCATTCTCTAGGAGGATTATTTTCTCATACATCCCCTTTTGGTCTTCATTAATGTTTTCCCACCTATTCTTTAGGGCATCCACCTCTTCTACAGCTATAGCCAAGGTGTCCTTCACTATAATTGGGTTGTTTTTGAGAATGTTGCTGCTGATTCTGTATTGAATAATGAATTGACTCTGTCGACGGGCAATAATCTCCGAATTGTCTTCCATCAACTTTTGAGTCATCACCCAGTTATCATGTCCAGCCCCTTGCATTACTATCCCCTGCCAACGTGGGCTCTTCTTGGACCAGGGTTGTCTTGTCTCTTGTGGGTACACCA